AAATAACCAAAATATAATTTCTACTTAAAACATCATCCATTCCAGAGAAGAAAACCTCCTATGAACTCACGTTCCCAAATTATGTCACAAAAGTTTATTTCTCCTTATACGCGGAATGCAAACCGTCTATCGCGACTTTGCAAAACAACTTATAATGTCATAGCCTAATCCCCATACTCTCCTGAATGTGAGATAAAATCACATTCTTATTCTGATAAGAACTCCATCCAATTCCCAAACTCCTAAAAAAAAATACTTCTCAATTAACTCTTTAAGACATGATACAAAAATTCATCCATCTGTAGATTGGTTCACACCAACGCTACCAGTATCTTTCACTATACTGCGGGTGAATGAGAGCACCCTCGTGCGATCTTTCATCTTCAAGCTTCCATAGCCCCTTTCTTGGAGACGCTGATATCTTCTCCCTTAGGACCCTCTTCAAAATCCTACTCTTCGCTTGTCTCCTTTTTTAGATCATCTGAAGTTGTATTGGCCCCATTATATGGTGACCTAACACCTACACCTTAATCCGTTCTTGGCGTATAATTCCTAAGTAATGCCAACCTCGAAACTACCTTCGATCCCAAGTTCTGCTTCTAGCAAAGAACTCGACAACGTACTCCTTTACGCCGTTAGGTCCGTATCGCTTTCGCCGTGAACCCCATCCTCCTCCTAGTTTCAACCATTCTATTTCTACCGAATTCAGTTGACATCAACTCCTCGTAATGAACCGTAAATAGAGTACAACGAATCCTAATATGGCTCTAAGTTTTTAAGAGACGCAACGCGGAAGTCTTATAACGAAAACACTCCTAAGGACACTAGAACCTAAAGTGCTCTGATACTAACTGTGATACCCCCGGATTTTCGGATGCGGGTTGGCCAGGCCCACGCCCGACTACCCGAGGATATCAAAACAATTAGCAATAAACGAACACAGAACACAATTAAGGAAATAGGAATAAATAAAAATTTGCTGAAAAGAAACTAGAATGATAATCCAAATATTGAAACCTCAGAATAAACTTAAATTAATAAAGAATTATTCTGATACATCCAAATTCTCCATTTCTAATACAACTCGGGAATCCATCTGGTGGACCCCTAAAAACTCCAACACTGAAATCATCAACTGAAGAACTCAACTGCTAAATCATGAAGAAGCTCCTACGTCGTCAGAAGAATGACAAGCCGTCTCTGCTCAGCACGAACAAGCTCTAAGACCTGATACCCTCTGTTACCCAAAAAATAATAGTGGGTCAGGCCTACGAACAAATTCTATCGCAACTACAATCCAAACAGAGACCCGATACGCAGATACATCCTAGATGTCTCAACCATATCTATATAGTCCGTAAGTAGATATTCATATATAACCACACTATAGGACTTTCACTAAACTACGCTGAGGGTCTCAACTTGAATAGAAGGCAACATGCAAAACACACCTGAGTGGGCATGACTACCTAAGCCTAACCGGGTATACCTCAACCAACATAGCCATCTACGCATCCTACTGCATAAACACTCCCTTACTGTCGACTATGAGACTCTAGCTCAGATTGCGATACCATAATTTATATATATAAATCCCCATCCAAACTAATGTAGTGCCGCTCAACTGTTCATTGCCATGACACGACATAAAATTAGGATTAAATGTTTTAATTAAATCCCTATCCTTCCTATTAACAGAAAATATAAACAACCATCCAATATGTCGTTCAACTGTTTTAGTTGACAGGACATGACACCATGTACGATTTAACTGTTTTAGTTAATCCACTCCGTATGTATGAATGGGTTCGAATTAGCGTTTTGATCAAATCCATCCCTCCGTATGTCTCCGTCCCATTCCGGTACATACCATGCATATGATCCGTAAATGATGCATTAACTCAATCAGTACACCAAATACAATCCACAGAAATCCATGTAGTTGATAAAACAGAATTAGAACAGTTCATCAACTAAATATCCATAACAATATCCATGAAATTGACGAGACAAAACTTAATCGTTCGCCAACTAAAAGTCTAGAATCCATTCCTATAATTGACAGAAAATATGCAATTAATTCTTCAATTAAGTCCAGGTTAACTCCCACGTAAATTACAAAACCTATATTTAGTTCAGTAACTTAGGTCCAAAACCATCATCTAGTTGAAAACCATTATCCAATTAATTACAACATAGTGTATCTAATAATTCAGCAATTTAACGTAAATCCTTTACTTATGTAATTGCAGGAAAAATTAATGTTTCAGGAATATAAAAATCCAAAGCATGCACAGGTCCAATCTGTTAAATAAAGGACTCTACTGTGCATCTAAAACAAGAATTTGAAACATGTTATAACTTACTAAATTGCGGTATTAGAACAAACAAGTAATTTCCCATCCTTAACCTATGTAATTGCAGAAACAAGCGTAATCTTTCGGCACTTTATCTTCCAGGACATACCTAGCCAAATCTGATAATAAATAGCTCTACTTTACATCTAAGTCCAGATTTATAATCATGTTATAACATGCGAAGTTGCTAAAATCAAGTCACATAATTGATTTTCTTCCATCTGTTAAACACATACAAAGTTGCTCATTTTCCTACCAATTTAAACCTATTAGCTTGGAAGCATAATTTAGACCATACAAGATGTTAAACCCACATAAACCAGTATTTAAGAACACCCAGTGCACTCCCAAACATTCCAGACTGCTCAATTCATCCAAACAACACCCAAGAAAACCCTAGATTTCGTAAAATTAAACAAAATAGGAGAGAGCCTGCTCTTAGAATGCAAGAGCAGGCTCTTGCAAGCATGGAGCAGGCTCCATACCTTCTTAAAGCTGACTCTTGAATGATGGGAGCCGGCTCTTCAATTCCAAAATCCGGCTCTTCATTCCTCTGAGCCTCTAATCTCTTCCAGCTCCGTTTTCCGACCATCTGCTTCAACACCGGCCACTTCCACTCCTTCTGTGTGTTTTTAAAAATGTTCCTAGGAGTCCTAAGTGTGTCCAGAATCATCCCATACTCTTACTTAAGTCTGTTTACATTAAATAAAACCTTAGAACACTCACCGAGCAAACATGCTTAGGAAGAGCAAGCACTGTATTCAAACCAAACCAAACTTGCATGAACTGTAACAAAATAAATTCACGCACACAGAAAATTGATATAGCATATAATAGACATCTAAGATTCGATTTAGTGACCAATTAAAACCCTAGAGACAGTCTAAGGATGCACAGAACACAGGCAACGGGAGAGAAAAAGGAAAGAACTTGCCTTGAGTTTTAGATTTGAAACTCTAATTCCACCATCTCTGAATGCGCCGTTACTATTTTAGACTATAGTTCCATCTCTGCTGCTCTTGGTTTCACCTATGAGCAACTTCTCCTTCTTCTTCCACCGTCCAACCTTGCTTTCCCCTCCTTGACAGACCTTTACGATGCTCTGTTTTTCCAACCCCTAACCAACGTGATCACTGTATTTATAGATGTAACACACTAAACCTTAATCCTTGTTTAATTAGAGCCACAACACTTACATAAGCCCTAGTCGGCCCATATAATAACCTAGGTTATAATATACACGGCTGCCTATAAGTGAATAGTTTTCCAAAGCTATACATGTAACTTAAATATACTACCTTGATTTTGACCTTATAGGATTCCTATTAAAATAGTGAATTAAATTTCAACAATGAATTAAATTAAAACAAATAAACAAGTAAGCCAATGAAATAAATAAAACAAAATACTATTAAATTAAAACAATTAAACAAGAAATCCAATTAATTAAATAATACAAAACACTAATACAAAACATTGCGCTTAAGCAATTAATTAAAAAAAAACACTTAAGCACACACTAACAGCTAAAATACAATAAAATAAAATAATTAATTGCCAATTATATCCTTTTGAAACTAGGGGTATTACAGAGAAGATGGTAGCCATGGCTGCCATGAGATCCGGCCAAGAGAGGGGAAAGAGAGAGAAAAATCTGATTTTTCTTTCTAAGGCCCCCTATTTATAGAAAAACTCAAAAAGTGCCCCGAACGGGCCCCGTCGGGTCCGAAAAAGTGGAATTTGAGCAGACGTGTTTAAACGGTGAAACTCCGTGAATGAAAAAGATTCAAAATGAGAGAAGATGAATAGTGGAAGAAATAGTGTCGAAAACTGAGCCCCGAGCAGAAAGATATGCCCCGAACAAGTTCTACGGCAACCGGGGCCAAAAATCTTAAAACTGGAGAAAAACAACCAGAAGGAAATTCTAAGAGTACGCGACTCAACAAAAAGTGAAAATGAATCCCGTACGAGGATCCAGGCTCAAAACGAGACATTTAGCAATAACTTTTATTAATTGCATAATGGCCCATCCAAAAAGTGAAAACTGCATAACTGGCCCAAAATGAAAATATCTTCCCAGAAATATTTTCTTAGAAACCCCTGAAATAAAATATATCTTCAAAAGATATTTATGAAAAAAACCCCAAGAAAAGAATAAGTTTTCAAAGAACTTTCGTCCATGTCCCTATGGACACCGGTAGCAACCAGTGTACTTTTCTGCAAAAGTAAATATACGTATTTCGTGGAAACCACTTAAAATGAAGATACATGAAGTCAAAAACCAACTCCAAACATAAGAAGTGTGGTTATGCCAAAAAGTGACAAACGGGGAAAAGACGAAGTAAGGAAAATGACGAAATAGGGAAAAGGACGAAATGAATATTGTCCGGAAAAAAAAATGTGGAAATGACGCAGTCCTCAAAGGAAGTTGTCAATCCAAGAAAAAGCATCTCGAAAATCATTCCAGAGCACTCGAGATGACACTAAGTGATGAGAAACTGAGCTCAGAAAGGAAAAGATCAATGGAAAAAAATATCCGTGAAAATCTGAGGAAAAGAAAAAGAAGGAAAATGACCGGGTCATTACAACATTCTAAAACTGGTGGCTTAGTTTAGAAAGACAAAGTCATTGTTACGGCACACATAGAGAGAGAAAGAGTCATCGTTGTGGGTTTCCAAAACCTCGTCTACATTAACAGATTGGACGAGAATTTTTTTAGGTTAGTAACTGTTCACCTTCTGATTTTGATTACCTGTGTATTTTTTTTTTTTAATTTAAATTATGAATTTACCATATTTGTCAACGTGCCCTAGCTTTGTTTATGCAGAGTCGATAGACGACTTTCTTCGTGAAAGCCCTAGCTCCTTGCCCCCGAGCACTGGACATCGTGAAAGCCTTAGATAGCTCCTTACCTCCTCCTTATAGCTTTCTGAAGTCTAAACAAGGTGTGCTCCTAACTTCCTATGTTTGATTGTTTGAACTTTTTTGTTTTAAACTTTGAAATTTTTCTTTACTTCTTCTTTCCTTGGGCTGTTTTGCCACATTTATCTTCCAGATGCTCCATTTTGACTGGAATTGAGTTTCATAATTTTCTGGATGCTTGCATAAACTTGTTATATTATTGGTAAATTTTGTGCAAAAATGATGAAATGAAGATCCTAAATCCATTGATAAATTGAAGTTTGTTTCTAAATTTTGAATTTGAAAATAACAATGAGCATTGTAAATCAATTTGCAATGAAACATTTGAATTTGCAATGAATTATTTAAATGTCAGTGTGCTCTTTTATATTTTTGTATATATTATTTCTAAGTTGTGTTTAGCTTAATTCATTATTTCGATGAATGTGTTAGCTTAATGGATTAAATGGTAAAATTGGAAATTTGATAAGTTCTCCTGGTTAATTTTAATCTACTAAAGAAATAGTATACACAATCAGTTTAGGGAAAATGTGGTTTCTTGTGAACTTCCCCACCTTTAAAATAGAAAAAGTAATTATTTTATCTATTTTTTCTTCATTTCCAAAACAGCTTGTATGGCCACAAATAGTTCTTTGCAATAACATGGCTGAAATTGGAGTAATCTAATTACATAATTTTATTGTGTTATACTTTGTTTATAACAGTACGGTAGTTGTAAAGTGTTTTTCTGTCATAATTTGTCTCTCATTTTTAAAGATGTGGCGGAAGATGAGGAACAAAAATAGGATTGAAATGGGGTAAGATTTAAGATTTTAAATTTCTAGGAGAAAAAAAAAAAAAAGCAGTAAAGATTTAAAGAGTTATCTAGATGAAGTTGTGTTGGAGTTGTTAGAAAATAAGATGTAGAAATGAGAATATTTTTTCCATAGAACTGAAAATTTGAAAAGCAAAAGGCAATTCTTGAAAAGGTTATATACGAGTACTCTGTATAAAAAAAATGGTTAATTTCAGATGAATTTCTTTGTAGTCATAAATAAGTTACTCAACTGAAGCACCAAACAACAAATATGGGTGTAAGTTAGGTTTGGGTTGTAGGCAATTGACCCATTCTGGTGATGGGGATAGGTCCTTTCATTACATTGACATTATGTCATTTTGCAATTTTCAGTCCTTTCATTACAGTTTCCTTTTAGTTATAACTTAAGCAGTTTTAAATTTTTTTTTTTTTTTTAAACACTCTTATTACTATTTTGTTCATTGGTTGTCATCCCCTTGGCCAAAACATCTTTATGACAAATTTACACATATTTCCCTAAATTGATGCCCCTTTTGCTTCTTGATTGCGCCCGTTACTTATTTATGTTATTATTGTACAATTATATCCTAATTTTTTTAAAAAAAAAAACAAAAAAAACTCCGTAATAGTAATAGTTTGAAGGTTTACGATATGTGAATATTAAGGGTCATTTATGTGAATTGATTTCATATGGGTAAGAATTTCACAAAGCTTAATGCAGGAAAATTGCATCAGATAAATGGTGGTTTTGAAACTGAAACTCTCAACTAGCTTCCATAGTTCAAAGTCATTTAAATTTCTCTATAATGCTACGATAACTCATTCAGTCCAAAAATTTCTGTTTTTGTATGCTACAAGACACTGAGCTTGCTATGTTCTTGTTATTGCTGATAGTGTGACCACTATAATTCAGGCTTTGTCCCGGTTTCCTTCGCATTAGCAATCAAGAAGGGGATAATTCGCATTTGATTGGCTAATATTCTCTGAAGGTATTGATGATTGCTATTCCTGCTTTTTATTTTTATTTTTTTCTATGCATTTAAAATTATTCCTTATGAGTTTTATTAGTTGATCAATATATTCTACTTGTTGCATGATAGGTAAATCAACTTTGGTATATCATCTTGTTGAATTGTCAGCTCTTACAAATAATCGTGTCGCAATATGATTTTATTTTGATTAATGCAAATAATTTATTTATGTTCATGAGGAAATTTTGGAGATTGAACTATTACCTGTTACTTTCTTGCTGTACACAATGGACCCATCTTGCATAATGATATTTTACTAAAAATTTACGATCATTCTTAGGAACCCTAGCTACAATTTGTTGAGGAATTTGTTTTAACGGAGTAGTCATGATTTTTTTTTTGTACATGTTACTTTTTTATTCTTTTCAAATACCTTGACTAAATTGTTATCATGTTTACCAATAATATATTTCTTATCTATATATTTTATTTAGGTTACTTGATGTAATATCATGGATAGAAGTTGGATAACTCAGTCAAGGTACTTTAGATTGTAGTTTGATTAGGTTACTTAATCTAATAACTACAATTTAAGAAATTTGATTTTTTATATGCATTACTATGCAAATAGGTTAAGTTCAGCATACTTGCGTGGAGTTAAAGAGTTTCTAGATATCTCATTTGAGCGAGTTGGGAAGGATGGGCATATATATTGTCCTTGTACTGATTGTGGCAATTGTAGAAAAAAAAACACGTTCTGAGATGAGAGATGATTTGGTGTGCAATAAGTTTATTCAGTCATACACAACTTGGTTTTATCACGGGGAAGAAATGTTGTCATCTTCTCGGCAAACTGATGTACACACAACACATGACGATATCAATGCAAACAAAAATGATGATATGCATGGACTCTTACATGAGGGTTTTGGTGTTCCAATTGAAGGGAGAGCAGAGACCAACGGAGAAAATGATCAGCACCAAAGGGTGTCAAATGAAGAGTTAGTAAAATTTTATAGGCTATTGGAAGATGCAAACCAAGAGTTATATCCTGGGTGTAAAAAGTTTTCAAAGTTATCCTATGTAGTGAAGCTATATTTAGTGAAGACTAAATATAATTGGAGTGATAAATCATTCACTGATTTGTTAAAAGTGATAAAAGATGGATTACCAGATGGCGAGACATTACCAAAATCCTTTAATGAAATAGAGAAGATGATTGGTGACCTGGGTCTTAAATATGATAACATTCATGCATGTCCTTCTGATTGTATGTTGTATTGGAAGGAGCACTTTAATGATGAAATGTGTCATAATTGTGGCAAGTCAAGGTGGAAAGTTTTTGATTCAGAAACTGAGGGCAATACAAGTACATCATCCTCATCAACAAATAAAAAAATTCCTGCTAAAGTTATACGATATTTTCCTTTGAAGCCAAGACTCCAAAGATTGTTCATGCCGAAGAGCGAATCAAGGATGGATTGATGAGACATCCCGCTGACTCCCCAGCATGGGATAGCTTTGATAAAAGATACCCAACATTTTCTAGTGATCCTCGGAATGTCAGGCTTGCATTAGTAACTGATGGGTTTAACCTATTCAAGACCATGAGTGTTGCACATAGTACATGCCCTGTTTTGATACTCGTGTATAACATACCCTCATGGATGTTCATGAAACAGCCTTATTTTATTCTATCAACCTTGATACCTGGCCCTAAGGGACCTAGAAATGATATTGATGTCTATTTGCAGCCTTTGATAGAGGAATTAAAAGAGTTGTGGGTTGATGGGGTGGAAACTTATGATGCTTTAAGAAATGAGATGTTCCGTATGCATGCAACGTTGTTTTGAACTCTTTCTGACTTTCCTGGTTATGCAATGGTATCCGGTTAGAGTACAAAAGGGTATTTGGCTTGTCCTAGTTGTAACAAAGACACTTGCTCTCATTTCTTAGATCGTAGCAAGAAAATATGTTATGATGGGCATCGTTGTTTTTTTGAAAAAGATCATAAATATAGGCCCTGTAAATCAGCATTTGACGGCACTGAAGAGGTAAGGTGTGCGCCGCCTATGTTATCTGGACCACAATTGTTACATGAATTAGAGGGCCTTAAATTTCCACCATTTGGAAAGAGTGTTAATACAATGAATAAAGATCGGAAGCGTGAAGATCGGACGCGTCCGCCATACAATTGGAAAAAAAAGAGTATATTCTTTCAATTACCATATTGGAAGTATAATCTTCTGCGTCACAATCTAGATGTGATGCATATTGAAAAAAATATATGTGACAATATACTTCACACATTGATGAATGATCAGAAAGGGAAGGATGAATTAAAAGCAAGACTTGACCTACAGGATATGGGAATAAGGCCTTCACTTCACCCACAAGAACGTGATTCAAACAAATTTTATTTGCCTCCTGTAAGTTTCACGCTATCTTTACTTGAAAAGAGCACATTATGTCGAGTGTTGAAAAATGTTAAAGTTCCTGTGATGACCTTGAAATTTTAAACCCAGTGTGTCCTGTGATGAACCAAAAGATGACCCGATAACGGATCCGAAATATGGAAGTGAAGGAAGCAAAATGGCCTCAAGAGATATACGTCATCCCTAAGGCACCAAAGTGACTCCTTATGAAGCCATGGAACTCTAATGAGCCAAGAAATGAAGCAAGAATGCCTAACCAGAAAAGAAATGAACCAAGGGCAAAATGGTCATTTCATACTGAAATTGGTGCCACCGTGTACACCATTGGAAAGACAACAAAAAATGAAAAAATTTAGATTCAAGAATTGCCTGATTCTGAGTCTGAACGGAAAAGATATGAAATAAAAACAAAGTGGCCTTCTCCGTCTAAGAGTTATCACGAACCTATCTCACTAAAACTGGAATAACTCACACTATAGATTGAGTCTTGATGAGTGGTTGGCACCATTAGAGAGCTAACTTCAAGCTCTTGAACTTAGACTCAAGAATGAACCAATTTGGGCAAGAAATAAAGAGATATGGTCTTCCAAAGTTGGAACAACAAGGTTGTCCAAGAGAAAGTGAGAACGGGTGGTTCCAGGGAGAATCAGCCGACCGAAATGTAACCATTAGCCGACCGAAACTCAACCGTCGGCTGGCCAAACCCCCATGGTCAACCGACCGAAATGCCTAAAATCTCAAAAAAGCTATTGGAATGGTCTCGAGGGATTTGTCAGCCGACCGATGAAGCTCCATCAACTGACCGACACACCTGCTGCTGCTATGAAAAGCTGCTACAATGTGTGGAAATGGTGCTTGGTCCATCTCCAAGGTTCTACATGCTCTCTATATGATCCAAACACATTTCAAAACATTTCCTAGCCTCATTCAAGCATCTAAAACATGCCAAATCAAAGAGGAACTCAATTGACACCCTAAATGCAAGGTTTTTGCATAAAAACTTATAAAATTGCCCAAAAATAGTTCTAAATTTGAAACTCAAGAGTCTTATGCAATGTGGATATGCACGCAAACATAAAAAGACATTTAGTAAGCGTCCCAATGGTCCACGGCCTCAAAATGATCCCAATGCAAAATATGACCTCTCAACGGCCAAAAATGCCTAAAAATGCAATAAATGGAACCAAAATGCAAAACCTAGAATGAAATGGTGTTTGGCCCTTGGCCACACCTCATACATGATCATAGAAACCCTACGAAAGAAAAAGAATGGAATTCCCACACCCGATGCAAAAGTTATGAGATAATGACTTAGCATTTTCCAATATTTTCATAATGAACCTTGAAAACAAAAGTGCATGGTATACAAGATACATGTCATTGGCCTCCGGCCTCATCTTATACATGTCAAATACATTAAAATGAGTCTACTTATGTACACTTTACATATACAAATAAAAGAATATGAATTTAGACAAATAAGGCTACAAAATGGCATTTCATTCCAACTTTTACAAGAATTGAAAACCTTCAAGGCTACAAATCATCCAAGCAATATGAGATCTCGAACCTTGATTCCTGTACCTGAAAAATTTCCCCACTACGTGGGTGAGTAACATAAAGCTACTCGCAGGAGATGAGCATGCATCGACCTAGCATTTTACAAATTTATCACCTTAAGGTGAAACATGTTAAAGGGGCTCATGCCACCTAATGTCTAGGTCACAGTGAGACTCAAGGAGTATCCTAAGCTACTCATGCAGTTGAAATGAACAACGACATACAAGTACACATGCTCACAAGCATACTAAACCGTATTAAAATATGATACACGACATTCAAGTACACATGCTCATAAGTATACTAAATCATGTTAAACGAAATAAGTAATATCTAGCATACATACACAAGTTTAAGATATATGTATAGAGCACTCACAAATCAGGTATACAAACACAAGTATACTAAGCTAAACAAGTACGCACAAGATAAGTATACATGGTACAAGTATACGAAGCTTAACAAATACGCACAAGACAAGTATACATGGCACAAGTATACTAAAATGAAACATGGAGCAAGTATACAGGTTCAAGTATACTAAATAGGATCCAAATACCCAAAGTAAGCATTGATTCTCAAGCTACAAGTAATCCATGATTAACAACTCGAAATTAAATGCGAAATTAAATAATGGAAAGACTAGGATCCTTGGCTACAGGCCAATCAAGTTATTCCGGGTTACTAGCCCGTAAGGTACTACCTAGTGCGCACGTGTATAAGTTATTCCGGGTAATTACAATCCACAAGGTACTACATACTGCTCACTTCATATGACTTAGGAAACTCATGAATCCGTACTAGGGCCAGGCCCTAGCCATCATATGAATATGATCTTTACAAGCCTCCAAAAACAATAAGTTCAAAACTTATGCAAAATCAATAAGTTAAACTAAACTTATACGTTTCAAATAATGTCTAGGAATCAATTTACATGCACAAGTAAGGTTGAATCACAAAGCAAGAATATTTTACAACAATTGAACCACATTACCATCCTAAGCCACAAGTACTAAATAAGCT